GACTGACCCAAGCCATGGTATTTTCAATAGCCTCATATGGATGCGAAAGCTGGACAGTGAATAAGGAAGATCGTAGAAGAATTGATGCCTTTGATTTGTGGTGTTGAAGGAGAATACTTGAAGTGCCCTGGACTGCCAAAAGAACCAATAGATCTGTTTTGGAAGAAGTGCAACCAGAGTGCTCCTTCGAGGCCAAGATAGCTAGGCTTCGTGTCTCATACTTTGGACACATTGTCCGGAGAGAACAGTCACTGGAGAAGGATGTCATGCTGGGTAAGGTGGAGTGTCAGAGAAAGAGAGGAAGACCCCCCAACGAGATGGATCAGCCAGGTGACATCATTGATGGCGTCAAGTGTGGCGGCGGTAGTGAGGTTGGCCTAGGATTGGACATTGTTTCGTTCTGCTGTGCATGGGGTCGCTATGAGTCGGTTCCGACTCGATGGCTCCTGACAACAACAACAACCATGCCTCAAACCTGTTTCCAACTTTTGCATTCCAATTGCCAGTAATTATCAATACATCTTGATTGCACGTTTGATCAGCTTCATGCTGAAGAGGCTGATAGAATTCTTCAATTTCATCATCACTGGCTTTAGTGGTTGGTTTTAAATTGGAATAATAATGGTATTAACATGTCTTCCTTGTAGGTGTATGGATATTGTGCTAACACAGACAGTATTATACTGCAAAATAGATATTGAAATGTTCTTTTTGATAAGTCCTCTTCAATTTGCAATTCATCTACTTTGAGGTCCCAGTTCATCCCCAGTTGTATTTTGAGTGTCTTTCAGCCTGAGGGGCACTGTATTTGATAGTATTCTGGTGCTAATCATTATGCTTCAATATTCAATACTCTAGTGCAATCTGACAGTGTTCCATTGTTATTCATAAATCTTTCAGAAGGTAAACATTCAGAATTAGTCCGCGTCTCCTTCTTAGTCTTTCTTAGCCTAGAAGCTCAGTTGAAACCTGTCTACTATGGGTGACCTTGCCACATTAAAAATACTGATGGCATAGCTTCCAGCATCACAGTAGCACACAAGCCATCACAGTATGACAAACTGACAGATGAGTGATGAAAGTATTTGGATTGTAGAGAGTTTATACTAAGTTGGTAAGCACTAGTTCAATTCCTCAGTGAAAAGAGAATTTATTTTATGAAGAATGATTATTCTACTTCTGTTTTACAGCTTGTACATATTTTATTGTTTTTGCCTAGATCATTTATATCTTCAGGTTCTGTTGTTTCTTATTACAAAAAGGACGTCATGCATTCTAAGCCTTTAAAAACTCAGGTAAAATTTAAGTTGTTTTTTTTTTCTTACAGACTTTTTGTTTAGCATTTTCTAAACAAAGGTGAAAATTCTGTAATTGCAATATGATTATTTTATACATTCACTGGTTCAGATGAAATACTCTACCTCATAGTAACATTGGTCCAACCCTCAATGTGTAATAAATCAATGTAGAAGCAGAAATAAGCTTCCACACTGAGTTACCTGGACTTGTGTATGTTTCTACCTGAAGCAAATTCATGGGATGATTGCCATTCATTTCATAGTACTGAAGTAGCAGTTAAATTAATAAAAATAAATGACATGTCTGGGGGAGTTGTTTTTAATTATTAGTCCTTTGCTTTATTTTTGTTTACAGATGGATTGCAATTATCAAGGATATGTTGCAGGTTTTCCGAATTCCATTGTGACACTCAGCATTTGTTCAGGACTCAGGTTGTATTGTAGCCCATTTAAGGATATCCAATTTGCCAGTAGTTGATCTTGTTAGTCTATGAGTTCATTCTCTATATTTGTTTTCTAATATTATAGTTATCTTTGTCGTTTCAATCTCGTAAGAGAATGTACTGGAATTACCAATAAAATAGGGTTCTACTGATATGGTGCTGTAGGACAAGCATTGGACTGCTAACTGAAAGGTCAGCAGTTCAAACCCACACACAGGTCTTTGGAAACCCTATAGGATAACTATGAGTCAGTACCAACTCAAAACTACTTAAAACAAACAATGTATGTTCCTGATGGGAGATTATTTGTTGATGCTGATAAGATCTCTTGCTTGAGGTTTTGAGCAGTCTTGAGTTTGAGGTGTGTTGATTAATCTCTCTGTACTGCTTTAATTTTCTTAAATTCTTTGATTTTTCCCAATTTCTTAATTTCCTGTGATGATTGGCAGTGGTAGAATGTTTGAATCAGATGGATCCTTTGACTCTGCACTCAGCCTTTAAGGGATAATAGTAATCTTCATTTAAGCCCACATGAACAAGTGACTTAGAACATTAAGAGGCAGAAGAGTGTTTACTTTCAAACAGAAGAAAGGAGTTACAGTTCACACAGAAAATTCACACACTAGATTAATGCACACAGTTCCACACAACTACTCAGCCTTCTTTAAGACAAGTAAGGTATTTCTCTTAGAATATTTGTAACAAAATGTAATATCAGCATCCTATGAAACAGTGTCCACTTCTGGGATATGACCACAAAGGATAAAGAGATAAAGTAGCAAAAACAAAGTGTCTTTAAATTTAAAAAAAGAAAAAGTAAAAAAAAAATTAATCATATTTTCCCATTATAGTTTTGGTAGAGTAATTTCAAAATAATTTTGATTGATTTGACATTCAGGGGACTACTACAGTTTGAAAACATCTCGTATGGAATTGAACCAATGGAGGCCGTGTCAGGATTTGTGCATATGATTTATGAAGGAAAAAATGATAATGTTCCTCTTTTAAGAGACAGTGACATTTATTCTTGGTCTAGAGATTCACACTATGAAGTCAGAAAAACTTCACAAGTAAGTGTTGATTCTTTTATTTGAACTTAGAACTTTATGAAATGAAAATGCTTTCAAAACAAAGTTTGTTTGGTAGCCTTAAAATTCTAAAACAATTTTACTTTTACCTGAGGGCACACTGCCTTACTTTTAAAAGCTATAAAATAAATTTATTTGTTACTAAGGCTTGTCATTTGATTCAAGTTTAGCAAAAACTTAGGTAAATAATCCTGGAAATAGGGAGGTATAAATATAGAAATAAAAGGGGAAAAATTTTTTACATGTGAGGATTTGTATACATTATGTACAACATTTTTTTTTCCTTCAAATACTCTTATAATTTAGGTGAAAATATTACGTGATTTGCTATAGGGGTTCCCAAAGGGATACTATAGTGGCTTATATAAGGTCCATGTAAGGCAAAGTGATTCTTACTCCACAAAGGCCCTGCAAACAGCTTTGACTCTAATAAAAAGCTATTGTTTGTAAATTTCAGAAGTATTTTTCTAAATTACATTGCTTACTGACAGTGGATTCCTAATAATAATTGGCAGTGGAAAATACATCCACATAGAAGATTAGTATGAAAATTATTATTAGTATGAAAGCTAAGAAAAGAAAAATTTTGTATTATAAACTTATTACATCTAGTTTCAGCTATTGCTAATATTAAAAGATGCTTGGGTTCTTACATAGCTAGAGAGTCTCATTGAAAATTCTTACTAATAAGAATTTTCCGAACTGAAATTTTCTAAATGGTACCTACAATTTGTAATTGAAAACAGCCTAATTATATAATTTGTAGACATATATCTTTTGGCTGATTTCTGAATATAACTTCAATATAAGAGTTTTATGGAAATTCTCATGTTACGTGTTTTTCAGGGAACTGAATTTTTTAAGATATCACCTCTCTATCTTGAAATGCACATTGTTGTGGATAAAGATTTGGTAGGTCATATTTTATGCAATGTTATCTTTAAATGTGTTAATATTTATTTGTTTAGCTTAATTTAAAAACTATAATGGAGATTTTCAACTAGTTTGATAAATGTCTATTTTGATTTTGCATGTAATACATTCTTAAGAAATTATAAATTTATTAATTTATAATTAATGTTTTCATTAATTTATAAATTTTCTATGCAGAGTCTCTGTTTTTGTAAAGGAAAATATTTTTTCATTTCCTAATTGAAGGATAACATTTTGAGTGAAACATATACAGTATACATTATAACTGTCTTAAACTCTCATCCCCTGCATCCAACAAAGAGATATAGTAATACTATTTAACTGACTCTCAGCTTTATTATGAGCTCTGATAGTTAAGTGGGTTGTGAGTTGGGCTACTAATCACAAGGTCAGTAGGTTGAATATAACAGTTGCTCAGTGGGAGAAATATGAGGCTTTCTGCTCCTATAAAGATTTACAGCTTTGAAAACCCTATGTAGGGTTGCTATGAGGCAGAATCTCTATAGCACATAACCACCAGCTTCATTGTAATGTTAAGTTATAAAACAGTTGTAAAACAAATATGCTACTTCTTTCAAGCAAAGGAGGAAAAAGTTAACTTCTATTTTTTTTCTCAGTTTTAGGTAAATTAAAAGATAGAAAATTCCGACTCATATAGACCATGTATAGGGTTTCTGAGGCTGTAAATCTTAATGGAAGCAGAAAGCCTCACCTTTCTTCCACACAGTGGCTGGTAGATATGAACTGCTTATCTTGTGGTCAGTAGCCTAGCTTGTAACCCATTGCATTACTAGGGCTCTTTGTACATTCTTTAGATTGGTGGGAAAAATTAGACAATGTTGAGTAATTTCAAGGATAAAATGTAATGGTGTCTTGTATTTACCATTTTAAGGAGTATGAATTTGCACAATTTGGGAAAACTGCTTATTATTATTTATAAATGTTATTATCCTCTGACTGCATTTTTACTGCTATATTAATAGAAATAGGAATGCATGAACACATTTACAGAAATAAATGAAAAATAATATTTATTGTAGTATTTAATATTTAAAATGTCTCTAGTAGTAAATGTAGTAATCATAGAATATAATATATAACCATGAATATATATGACACATAACTACATTTGACATGGATTCATCTCACAAACATAATATTGGACAAAATAAATCTCAAAATAATACATATCAAGATACTGAATGAGCAAAGTATAGAAACATGAGTCAATGCAGTGAGTGACTTCCTCTCTAATGTGACAGTAGCCACTTTTGTTTTTCTCATTTCATTAGCTAAAGTCAATGTTCTGGTGTGGTGTAGTGAAATATTTAATGTATATTCTAATCATGGTCTGGAACTCCCACTGAAACAATGTTTTTGTTCTGCTGGGTCTGGAGACTTGCTTGTAGAGTAGGGTGTCTCCAGGTGCTTAACTAGGATGTCTAGGTTTGCTGAACCTTTGAGCTATAGCTGACTGCCTTCAAGCTGAGAGTTACCGTGAAGTGGTATGCCCTGTGGGTACTTATAAGCAGCCTTTGTAGCATTGACCAAGCAGGGAGAGACCTATCCTGGGAATGACTAAGGAGAAGCTGTCCTCACTGTAGGAACCATACCCTGAGGACTTCTGATCCTATATTGTAACTGGTTAACTTTTCTAATAAACCCTATAACTGTTAATATGGTGTCTGAATTCTGTGTGGCCATAGCCATGGATTATCAAACCCAGATGAGCAGACAGTGCTCAATAGGAAGAATGGTTGGTGTTGTTTTTGCACCTGACCGTATGTATATTTCAAAAGTAAGGATTCTTTAATTAGAATATAATTGAATATTTGTATTTGGGAATGATGCCTACTGCAGATCATAGCACCAAAACTAAATACAGGAGATTCACATTCTATATTTTGAAAGCCTGCATTTTAATAATGTACAATTCAGTTTTCATAAACCACAGTGCTACAAATTGAGTGTATTATACCATCAAATAATATGTCCAAAGTCATTTGTCAGTTTGTTGCTGCACTGTGGTGGCTTGTGTATTGCTGTGTTGTTGGAAGCTATGCCATTATTTTGAATGCCAACAGGGTAAGTACATGGAGTAAAGCTTTCAGGACTTTTGTTTTCTGAAGGGGCACAGCTCAAATTGAGTGGAAAAAGCTGAAACCATCAATTAATGATTGAAACATGGAATGTACGATGTAAGAATTTAGGAATATTGAAAGTTGTCAAAAATGTAATGGAACAAATAAAGATTGATATCTGAGGCATTGCTGTTGTTGTTGTCGAGTGCCATTGAGTTGGTACCAACTCATAGTGATCCTACACACAACAAAACAAAACACTGCCCAGTCCTGGACCAGTCTCACAATTGTTGCTATGTTTGAGCCCACTGATTCTGCCACTGTGCCAGTCCAACTCGCTGGGGTTCTTCTTCCGTTTCTCTGACCCTTCCCCTTACCAAACATGATATCCTTTTCCAGAGACTGATCCCTCCTGACAGGACGTCTGAAGTGAGCTGAAATGGACTGGTATTCACCATTTTGAATCTGACCATCACATGGTTTACTATGACATGGTTTACTAAGAGGAATGGCATCAAATTCATCATCAAAATAAACATTTCCAGATCTGTCTTAAAGTGTAATGCTGTGATCTGTTAAGGTCCATATACCTATAAGGAAGACTACTTAATAACACTGTTATTCAAATTTACTGATGAACCACTAAAACCAGTGATGATTAAATTGAAGAATTATACCAACTTCTACAGTCTGAAAACAATCAAACGTGCAATCAACATGTATTGATCATTACTGGTGATTGGAATGCAAAGCTTGGAAATAAAGAGGAAAGATCAGTAGTTGGAAAAGATGGCTTTGGTGATAGAAATAATTCTGGAGAACACATAATAGAATTTTGTAAGACCAATGACTTCTTCATTGCAAAACCCTTTCTTAAACAACATAAAAGATTACTGTACACATGAACCTTACCAGACAGAACACACAGAAGACAAATTGACTACATCTGTAGAAGTCATGGTATTTTCAATTGCCTCATAATGCCTGTGAAAATTGGACAACGAATAGAGAAGACTAGAAGAATTGATACATTTGAGTTATGGTGTTGGATAAGAAAATTAAAAGTACTGTGGACCAACAAAAGAACTAACAAATTTGTGTAGGAAGAAGTACAGCCAGGATGGCCAGACATCATCTCTCATATTTCAGGCATATTTCAGGAGGGACCAGTCCCTGGAGAAAGACATCAAGCTTGGTAAAGCGAAGAATCAGCAAAAAAGAGGAAGACCCCCAACAAGATGTATTGAGCATATTGCTGCACAGTATCAGTATCAATATGCTTACTCAAGCGTAGTAGCAATTGTGAGGATAGCGCAGGACTGGGCTGTGTTTTCTTCTGTTGTGAGGACAGCCCAGGACTGGGCTGTGTCTTCTTCTGTTGTGAGGACAGC